TTTAGAATCTTTAAATAGCTCATTGATAGATTTAGAACCTACAAATAGTATGGGTGTGGAACCAGAAATATGTGAACTATTAGAAATAGAGCAAAGCAACAAACAAGATCTTCAAATTTCAGTGGATACTTCATTTTTGTCGTGAGATTTAGCTGAAGCGCAACTCAACAGTTATGCAAAAGCTAAAGGTTTCTCCCTACGTCGAAAAAGAGTAGAATTCAATAATAACGGCGAGGTTAGACGATGTACGTTTGAGTATACGCATTTTGGGGAATGTGTTAGTAATCAGGTTGTTGACCTTTCACAGCAACGTAATAGAAGTTTAGGAAAGATATCGTGCCCATGGCACATAAATTTATCAAAACCAAAAAAATCTGCAGTTGTAATTATCACGAGTATAATAGGGGAGCATAATCATCAGCTACAATCTGACATTGGGCTATATGCTCCAAAGTATAGAAAATTATCATCAGAAATCTTAGAAAAAATAGAATTCTATATTACAAAAGGAAAAATAAGATCTAAGCAAATGCTACCTCTTTTAACTTCTGAATTTCCTGATCATATTATTCACAAACGCAATCTTTATAATGCTGTCCAAAAGGTTAGAAGACCACTTAATCAATGTCAGGGAGAAGCACAAGAATTCATTGATTATTTGTTGTATTTAAAACACCAAGAACCTGGTTGGATTGTCAATTTTAGGGTAGATCCATATGATAATTGCCTTACAGGACTGTTCTGGATGTCCCCAATGCAACAACAATACTTGATACGTTATATTGATGTAGTTCAAACTGACAACACTTGTAAGACGAATTGGTTTGACATATATCTTACTCTTTTAGTAGTTATTGATAATAACACAAAGAGTTGACTAGTAGCTCAAGCATTATCTGATGATGAAACTACTGAGTCATACGAATGGTTTCTTGAATGTCTTTTGAATGCAACAGATAATACACCACCTTTAGTTTTATTTTCCGATGCTGAGTTAGCGTTAAGCAGCGCTATTGCTCTAAAACTACCTACAACATGTCACTTTTTATGTATATTTCACATACAAGAGAATATCTGTAAAAATTTAAGATATAACCTTGGTAATAGATACGATGAATTTTATAAGGAGTTTTTGTATACGCAAAATAGCACGTTCGAGAAAGATTTTAATAGAAGATGGTTATGGTTATTAAATAAGTATCCCCAAACACAAAATTATTTTAATAGAACATTGCAAGGAAGTATAAGATTATGGGCTCGATGTTACTAACTAAGTTGCTTTGCAGCAGGTATCCAAAGCACCCAGCGTGTTGAAGTAATGAATCGATTGATCAAAGATGGTATTAGGAGTACACTCTCTTTGTGTAGCCTACATGAATATATACAGAATCTTTTAGATAATAAGGCTCAGTGGGCGCGACATCATAGTTATATGAATTCTCTACCTACTAGTCAAATGCCATCAGTCGTTGAATCATTATTTCTGCAAGTTTCTAATATATTAAAGTTATACTTGACATATATAAATAAAAATTAATAGGAAAAAAAGTTAAATTACTAAACTAAAAAAAAACCTATTAATAAATATTTATATAATATTATTATATATAATATAAAATTTTTTAATTTATACTATTCATTTTTAAATTTTAACCAACTTTTTAAACACATACAAATTTTAATTGTTTCTGGATTTAAACTATATCTTTTAGAAGAAATTAAATCTGCACTATTGGAAAATATACGCTCAACAGGAATACTTGTTCCTAATTATATATAATAAAAATTAAATATTATAAATAAAAATAATATATATTAAAATAATTTAATTTTAAAAATATACTTTACCTGGAATTGCTAAAAAATCTCTAGCCATTTTTGATAAATTTGGATAGTCTTTTTCATGAAGCTATATACAATAAATTAATTTTTTTATTTAATTAAATAATTTTATTTAAATAATAAATATATAATATAAATTTTTTATACCTTCCAAAATGTTAATATATCTATATTACAATTAACTAGAGGTTCTTGTAAATATTTTATAAGTTCATCAAGCTCAGTATATTTTCTTTTTTTAACTATATAAGCCATAAGTCCACTAGGTTTATTAGTTATTTGATTATTATTTTGATTTAAAGTTGGCATATATTTAGTTTTCCATAAATTAACAATTTGTTGTTGATATATTTCAATAGTTTCATCTTTAAAATCATGGTCTTTAAAATATTCCAACTTAAAATGTAGATCAATAACTATAAATAATAAATAATTAGTTTTAATTAATTAAAAAATTAAATTAAAAATTACATACCAATAGAAATTATATAAGCAAGTCCATTAGTTGTTGGATAATATTTTTGTAATTTAAGTTTTGCTTTGTTAATAGCATTAATAATATCATTAGAATACGAATCTTCTTTAAGAAATTTTTCAATTAAATCTAATAAATAATTATAAATAGGAATAGTATAGCTAAGTGTGGGATAAGTTGAAACACTTATTTCAAAAGTAGCATCTTTAAAACACTAAAAAATTAATTAAAATTACTAAATTTAAATAATAATAAATTATAAAATAATATATTAAATAAATAAATTTTTATTTATTTAAATTTAAAATCTAATTATATATATATATCTTTAATAATTTTTTTATTTGTTCAAGTTTTTTCCATTCATTATTTGTTAAAGAATATTTTGTAAGACTTTTATCTA